ACCAAAAATTAAAGTGTGAACAAATCACACTTGTATAGTTGCACATCTCTTCCCCGCGTTAATAACAAAAGCTCTTTGGTGACACGTCCTAGTAGCGTTAATTGGAGCGACAGACAGTCGCGCTACAGCTGAAAACAAGCTCAGGCCACGGATGTTAAGGTGTCCCGTTGGGGATTTACCTGGCAGTCTAGCGCTGACGGGGATGACACAGAGGAGGACCGCGGAGAGCAGCGGCAGCAGCAGCGAGGCCCGGCGCCTGCGCCCGCACCGCGGGCTGGAGAACAGCAGCATCCTTGGGTCTTTTCGGGGACGTTGAACCGCAGACGGGGACGGGGTTTGTTGTCATTCCCCCATCACTTCTTCTTCTTCTTCTTTTTTAAGGTTTTTGTTCTCTGATGCAGGAGAGCTTCAGCGCAATGAGCCTACAGCGATAAGCCGAGCACGTCGCACCGAAGTGCAGTCACACACACACTGCGCACCGTAATCCTTACAGTGCTAAAGATAGCGGAGCTTCAGGCAGGGGAGGGGAGGGTATGTGTTTGACGTGCTGCCTTCAGGGCCTTCTCGGAAACTTACAGATAAAAATACAGACTCCCCTTGACACGTTTACAGTTTGAACATATTTGTTTTCTTTTTTCATCACAGCTATAATTATGCAGACAGTGAGAGGCTGCTAATTCACTTCAAATACATTTTAATTGTTTGTTATTGAAAGTCATTTGAAATCAATTTAGTTTCTCTTATTTTAGCCAAAATGAGGTCCACCTAAGCAAAAGTAAGTTGACATTTTAGCTTAAAAGCTTTTCTATGGACAGATGTTGGTCAGGTTTTCATTAGTTAAGCTGAAGAGGTCTACAGTATAATATTTCGCTTTCTGTATTGTCATAAGGACGAAACAATATGATTTTTTTTATGACTTTACAAAAATATTGGGACCTAATTTCACAAGTTTCTTGAAAAGGAAAAGCTGCCTTCACTGGTGCTCAAATTCTTCTAGTTTCAAATGCTCCAGTCAAACAGGAGAAATGAAAACGTGTCAGGGTATCATGTTAAATGTATAGGTTAAATACGTGTGACAGATAAAGCCTTTTATAAATGATGGAAAATTCCTAACCTAACCTCAATCATCGTGATGTCTTAAATCTTAAATCACAGATTTCCCACATGCACCTGTGATATTATCTTAACTAACTTCATTGCCGTGATAGCCAGGACATTAATTTAAAAAGAAAATGCGTGTACTGAATCATCCGAAGTTATACAGAGATATTTCTACCACCAGATCGAGATCGTGTCTGATCAGATTCCCACTTGCACTTGAATGCAACAGTTTACCGAGGGATTACAATCAGGATACCACGTAAACGCGTACGTGAGGTTTGACGTCGTGGAAGAACCGGTTTAATAATGTGATCTTCTTGGTTTGATGGTTTTCATGCAGCTGGATAGAGTCGTGTATTCATGAAAAACTCCTAGTCTTATTTTAATGCGGATAACTGTTCACAGTCATAGTCTACGCATTGCTATTCTTTTTTTAAAATTATTATTATTCTTGTTTATCAATTTTTTCCTCTTCCTAGCAGTACAGATATGATCCAAATGCAGATAGCTGCAAAGGGAGACAGCTGAGGAGCAACAGGTAGCAGCAGGTGGAGGTAAAATGATCTCCAGCTGTATTTTTAAGATGTATAGATAGACATCGAATAGACAAACTCTTTTTTCCATTGTTGTCCCTCCTGTCTGCCAAAGCCATTATTGTTATTTCCCAAACACAGACCAAATGGCGAATAGCAGCTGGGGGCTGTTTGCTTGCTTAGTGCTGAAAGACCATTGCCAAACAAAGAGCGGAATTTAGGTCAGCAAGGATCTTTAGCTGTCCGGTTCAAAGTAAGTCCTCAAACCGGACTACTAGTAGCTCACAGTCTTCCTGTACAAAAAGAAAGAGAGCGTATCGCCTACACCCTCTGTCAGTTCAAATGTTTTACATATCAGGACATAATAAAAAAATTATCTAGTCTTTAGCAGCTCTTAAAGTTAAGTAAGTGCAACCTGAAATGAACAGGCGAACATGGCATTACACACATAGTACCCATGACATATGAAGCAATGGTTTTCTCTGTGGAGAAGTTCTCACCCACTCTTTCATATAAAATTTGCTTCACGGTTTCATTTATGTAGAGCTCGATTCCCGCCACAGTGTTTCAGTCAGGCTGAGGCCTGGGCTTTGACTGGGCCACAGCAACACCTTGATTCTTTTCTTTTTCAGCCATTCTGTTGTAGATTTGCTGTGTGATCAATACTGACCAAGCTTCAGCTGCTGGTCAGAAGGGCTCACAATCGACTCTAGAATCTAGAGCAGTGACTGCGCGGTGTCTGGGTCCTGTGGCTGTAAAACAAGCCCAGATCATTACCTCTCTGCCAGCGTATTTCACAGTTGGTGCAAGTTGTTTGTGCTGATATGCATTATGGTCAGGCTGCTCTTTACCCTCATAATTCCTATAAAAGCAGTTTGGGTCGACTTAATTTTTCACACTGCTTCTGCATTATGGCTTAACTGTTATAAAATAAATAATGACAAAGTGTCTTATATCAGGGCAGCATGTTCTCCTTGGGTCTGCGTGGGTTCCCTCCAGGTACTCTGCTTCCTCCCACAGTACAAGAACATGCAGTTAGTGGAGTGAGGTTAATTGGGGAAGCTAAATTGCCCAAAGTGTGAATGTGAGTGTGAATGGTTATCTCTGCGTTAGCCGTGTGACAGACTGGTGACCGGTCCAGGATGTACTCCACCTCTCACCCCAGAGGGGATAGGCTCCAGCCCCCTACAACCCTTAATTGGATAAGCAAAGTGGAAAGATGGATGGATGCTATAATATGTCATGTTTGCCACTTCATATGAGGTTGTATTTATCTAACTGTAAGGTCTGATAAAGACCAGATTCCTGTCCTGATATGTAAAACCCTTGTACTTTCTTTTTACTATGACTATACACGCACTTAAAAAAAGCTGTGTAATCAAATGGATTTGTGGTATACTGTATTTTGTGACACACACACACACAAAACCCCCCAACATGTCATTTGTCTTGCAGTAAATTAGATTGCTCTAGGACTACCACTCAACAATTACAACCTCTTTATTCTAAAAGCTGTCCAGAGTCCTTACATGGTGGTGCTTTTTGTGGGTGAAACAGCATCAGCAGCACTATTATAACTGATGTCATCGCAGGCATCATCGTTCTTGCCACGTAGTCCTCTGGAACAAAAACGTGTCAAGGTCTGTCTCATTTTTCCCGGACAAAGGTAGTCAGACAGCATTCTTTTTTTTTGAAAAGCTCACAACCCGCTGCAGTGCTGTGGCACGGATGTGATGCATGTGGGTTTTGGAGGCAACTGATGTTATGTGTCTTTTCTGTTGAGCTCAAACTGTACATAAAATATATACATAAAGAAGTTATTTTGCTCTTGCACAATATTTCTAATAAATTTTTTAAAAATTCATAAAATTACAAAGATGTGTGTACTTAATATGAAATGTGTTACAATCAAATTGCATTTCCAACCTGTGTACACGGCACATTACTTTAAACTACTTTTAAAGGGAAAACTAATCACAAAAGGTCTTTAACCAGATAAATACGTCAGTATGAAGTGAGAAATAAAGTATCAGAAAGACTACGCTGGATGATTAATCACAAAAGCCTACTACAGGCAAATGGCAACCACATCCTTTAACCTATGACCTCATAGGAAACCATAACTGCCACTGATGATAAAAATGCAGAGTAATGGGAAAAAAAAAACAAAAAAAAAAAAACATAGATGGGTTGATTGGGTTAGGAATTATGATTTTTAATTTACTGACAAATGTGTCTAAGTTTATGTCCTGGAAAGTGATTTCAGATAATCTCTCTTTTGGCACTTTATGAGCTGCAGGACACAATCCAACAAAAACCTCAGAGTTGCAGAAGAAGCATGAAAATCATTTAAAAGAAGAACAATCCATTTTTTGGTGCATGGTCCTTTTATCTGCATGAACATTTACATACACAGTCCTGAGGTAAACAGGTTGGCACAGCCTTATAAAAGACCAAACAAATATCTGACTTCAAATCAGCTCAGCAGCATCAGGAAAGGGTGCACTTTACAGTTAGGTAAGGAACAAATGACAGCTCACATTTCCATGTTACACAAAAGTTAAAAATCAAGCAAACTACTATTAGTGTGGATGAAATAGTTATGCAGTGTTTTGAGTTTTAATCCAAAGTTATAACAAGTAAACCTAATGCTGTAAAACAGGTGAGTATGCAAGGAGTGTGTGAGAGTCAGAACCCCAGCTTGTAAATTTATGCAAAATGCATCCACTATAGATTTCAGTCACACGCTGGCATAAATGTGTAGGATTCAGTTGGTCTTTTCTTCTCTGGTAAATGTTAGATGATCCAAAAACCTCACCAAAATTTCACCCAATCCACTTATTCATAAACGTGACAATTTGCAGTGTTTTGAAAGGAGCATTGCAAAAAAAAAAAAAAATTGGCATTTAAAGGAAGATACAAACAATCAATTGTTACACAGTGAAAATGCAATGAAAAATAACCATAATGAGTTATTACATTTGACCATAAACAAATGTAATAATAGGATGATTCTTTTTTTCCCAATTTTCCACAAGTCTCAAAGTGCAAAGCAGCCTCAACAATCCTTGACGCTGCACCTGAAACCAGGGGTGTCTGCTTGCAAGAAAACCGCCTCTGATCACAGCTTCAGTGTTTCTAAGAAAACGTGAGTTACAACTTAACCGTGTGGCTATTTTTGGGTTAGAAAGCTGAACTTTAAAAGATTCATGACGGTAAATCGTACCGATTTTCTGAATTTGTAAAGATGGATACGTTTTTGCCTTGTGACGTTTTAACCGAGATGCCTTCAAGGGTTTTTTTTTAGTCATTACACATACACACACATACACAGTCACAGACACTGCTCACATAGTAGCAAAAAAGCAGAGCACGCACAGGCGCACACGCACACAAACACACACGCACTCTTCATCAATGCAAACTGTATTCACTCTTAAAATTCCCTGAAGTGATTTCCAGTAAGAAAGAAAATAGTTTTTAAATTAACCCAACTTCCTGTTCTTCAACAGCCAGCATTACATTACCGAGAAGCTCTGGTAGCTAACACCACCTACTGGCCATGTAATATTCTACTCTCTATCAATGAATGCCTAAACAGTACTTGTTAAAGTGAAAAGGTGCAATATATACTAAAAATGCACTGCATTGCATAACAACCGTAGCTGAGGACATTTTTGGACCCTTATCTACAGTTTCCTCTGGATGTACTTCATATGGGCCCACAGGAGCAAAAACTACAGGTTAGGTTTAGGTTTACACATTAACAGCCTATCCTTTTAGATTTATATTACTAAGTTTAGTCTCATGAGATCAGAAGCCACACCTCAACCACCATTTCCTGTACCACATGGAGCAGAATCTGCAAATCTTTGACTGAAA